TCCCTGATGGCAAACAGGCTGGATGTACCCGTGCAGGCTCAGTGGCCAGAAGCGGGGTTTGGAGGAGATTTTTCACAAGGAAAGGCCCGTGTCTTTTGAAAATCTTACTGAAAATCTTACTGAAAATCTTACTAAAAATAATCTTACTGAAAATCTTGGTGTGCATTACTAGCGTGTATCACCTGTAAGATCGCTATATAAACTAAGGCACAAGAGGGGGTGTTTACTGCGGGTACTTTGCTTTACATTAATACTCACATAATAAAAATTTAAGGAGGTTACGAGTGGCGGTAGTTCAGCTTGCAAACCAAACCCCGGAGACCACAGGGAGTTCTGTTTGCCCTTTTTTAATGTCGCAATTTCCCGTGTGTGGCTGTACCCGAGATGAGACACTGCCTGCTGGCCTCCCCAAAACACCAGGCAGAACCCCTGGCTGTAAATCACCCTGGCTCCCATTTGCTCCCCTTGGATTAGCAGGGGGAGCATCCCCCTGCCCCAGCTGGTCCCCAGACCCCCGGCAAGTGGGGCACTTCTTCAGCAACAGCGTACTCAGGAGGGCAGAAGCACGCTGGGTTGAACAGACCTCTTTCCAAAAATAAAAATAAAACCTAAAAAAAAAATACAAAAAATAAAAATAAAAAAGAATAATACAAAATTAAAAATAAATACCAACCACAAAGTTGGTATTAATCCAAACCAAAGGATTAATTTTTTAAAAATTAAAATGTCAGCTAACAGGCTCTAAATTTGCTAAGAGCCAGGTTGTATGGTGTATTATCATGGAATCATAGAATCATCTAGGTGGAAGAGACCCTTGGGATCATCGAGTCCAACCATCTCCCCTACTCTACAAAGTCCTCCCCTACACCATATCCCTCAACACCACATCTAAACGGCCCTTAAACACATCCAGGGATGGTGACTCCACCCCCTCCCTGGGCAGCCTGTTCCAATGCCCGACCACTCTCTCTGTGAAAAATTCCTTCCTAATAATTAACTTTTCTTGCTACTTAAAGAAATAGGATATCATTTTTTGCCCTATAAGCATATAAATAATCTAAAAATGAAGCAAAAAAAATGAAAATAAATTTTTAGTATTTACTATGGGCGGTATCTGACACGGTGTGTTGTGCGATGCTTGGTGGGTCAGGTCTCTCACAAAGCAACACTACTCAAAGGCTCATTTACACTATCCTGGAAAATGGGCTGGTACATTAAAAAACATTTTTAGTTGTTGTCAGCAAGTTTATATAGATTCCATGGTTAGCACAAGTAGGGATATTTTCAGCAGAGGACTGTGCTGGCTTAATGCTAGTAAAATGTTTGTGTCTCTTCAAAAGAGAAGTATAACTGCTGCCTTTGAGTTTTGTGTGGGAAATATCATCAACCAAATAATTAACTTTTCTTGCTACTTAAAGAAATAGGATATCATTTTTTGCCCTATAAGCATATAAATAATCTAAAAATGAAGCAAAAAAAATGAAAATAAATTTTTAGTATTTACTATGGGTATATATATTAGAAAATTTTATAATAAATACATTTTATTATGTGTGTTTATAGTGAGCATGTACATATGTATATTTTTATTATTTTTCCTGGAGAAACTACTGATCTTCACACTACCAATATGAAATGCTTTTTTCCTGTAGATTCTACAGCTCATGAGTTCATGTTCAATCTGACGCCCTGCAGCACCATGAACAAACCCAACTGGAAGGCGGCTCTTACTTGGATTCCGAGTGAGTCATAGCATCATAGAATGGTTTGGGTTGGAAGGGACCTTAAAGATCATCGAGTTCCAAGCCCCTGCCCTGGGCAGGGACACCTCCCACCAGACCAGGTTGCTCCAAGCCCCATCCAGCCTGGCCTTGAACCCCTCCAGGGATGGGGCAGCCACAGCTTCTCTGGGCAACCTGGGCCAGGCTCTCACCACCCTCACAGCAAAGTTGTTCTTCCTGAGATCTCATCTCAATCTCCCCTCTTTCAGTTTAAAACCATTACCCCAAGAGTCCCTCTTGTCTAGACAATTCTATGAGATGGTTTAGGTGCACATGCCTTTGTCTGGAAGAAGCAGGCAGGATTTGCTGCACATAAGCCCTTCTGGCCTGAAGAAGATCCAAGTTTTTTTAAGGAGAGATAATGTAATTAGCATATACAAGTATAGCAGGAGTTTTACTAAAAACATGCATGTTCCAGAAGCTGTAGATGGGACTGGATTTTGTGTTCAAACCCAATTTTAATCTTTAAAACCAGCTTTAATCTGGCCAGCTGAGTTACTTGTGAAATGGCTGCATCATAAACTTCACCTTCTGAGTAAAAGCTCTGGGGCTGGACTAAGTTTGCTTCCCTAGAAAGATATCTTGATGGTGGCTACCAACATTCAGGAGAGTTCGTTTGCAACATCTGCTTAGAACTAGAGTCCTCATCTGGGTATTTATTTGGGTTAGCTGTCTTTGATGAAGAAATTAAAACAGATTTTGAATTTGTTCACTCTGACCTTTTTTGCTGAAAACCAACTTTTCGTTTTTCTGGAAGTAACATTTTTCAAGATGTGCATTTTTATTAGGTTTTGGGGGGAGTCTTTAAAAAATATACTATTTCAGAGAAAACTATTTTTTTATGGAAATAGTATGTCTGCATATATGTTTTTTTCCTCCCCACCTTCTATTTTTGTTAGGTTTTGGGGGGAGTCTTTAAAAAATGTACTATTTCAGAGAAAACTGTTTTTTTTATGGAAATAGTATGTCTGCATATATGTTTTTTTCCTCCCCACCTTCTTACCTAGGAAGTGACATCACCTTTTTGAAAGTGGTCTTCAATGTTTGGCTCGAGGGTGCCAAAGCACTCCACTGGAAAGAAGTCATCTGCAGCGGCGCCGATGACAAATACTCGGAGTGCGGGATGCTGAAAGGAGGTCGGTGTGGACAATATGCGGTGCCTTTCCCTCACCCGGCAGGTTCCCTCCACAACAGGGTCAGATCCTTGCAGCCCATTTTCACCACTAAACAGATTTCTGAAAAAAACTGCTTGATCAACCCATGCGGACAGGTTTTTTTCCCTCCTCAACCCAGACCGAGTCACTGTGCATGGCAGGCAACAGACAGGTTTAGAAGAGGCAGTTCTCCAGTGCCAGATCTCCACTAAAATAGACAATTTCCAAATTCTACACTTTAACATCCATGTGATCACAGAATCACAGAATGTTCGGAGGTCGGAAGGGACCTTTGGAGATCATCTCCTCCAACCCCCTGCCAGAGCAGGGTCACCCAGAGCAGGTCCCACAGGAACGTGTCCAGGTGGGTTTGAATGTCTCCAGAGAAGGAGACTCCACCACCTCTCTGGGCAGCCTCTGCCAGGGCTCTGCCACCCTCACAGGAAAGAAGTTCCTCCTCATGTTTAGATGGAACTTCTTACGTTCAAGTTTGTGCCCTTGTCCTGTCCCTGGGCACCACTGAAAAAAGCCTGGCCCCATCCTCCTGACCCCGCTTTGAGTATTCACAGGTGTAGATCAGATCCCCCTCAGTCTTCTCTTCTCCAGACTAAAAAGACCCAAGTCCCTCAGCCCTTCCTCATCAGAGAGATGCTCTAGGCCCCTCATCATCTTTGTAGCCTCTGCTGTCCCCTCTCCAGCAGTTCCCTGTCCTTCTGGAACTGGGGAGCCCAGAACTGGATGCAGGACTCCAGCTGGGGCCTCCCCAGGGCAGAGCAGAGGGGGAGGATGACCTCCCTCCACCTCCTGGTCACACTCTTTTTAGTGTGCCCCAGGATGCCATTGGCCTCCTTGGCCACAAGGGCACATTGTTGGCTCATGGGCATCCTGTTTTCCATCAGGACTCTAAGGTCTCTCTCTGCAGAGCTGCTCTCCAGCAGGTCACCCCCAACCTGTCCTGGTGCAGGGGGTTATCCCTCCCCAGGTGCAGCACCCTACACTTGCCCTGGTTGAATTTCCTCAGGTTCCTCTCTGCCCAACTCTCCAGCCTGTCCAGGTCTCGCTGGATGTAGTGCAGTTTACATCTCCATAAATTAGGATTACTAATATCCTGCATCTCATTATCACACTTTTATTGTCAACATCTCTAAAATACCACGGAAATACTCCATTTGACAGAACTGCACACAAAACGTGAGAGGAGGGAGGGGCACTGCTGATACCCAGAACACAGTTTATTTACCTGACTGTCTGGATGGGTTTTTAAAGAGGTTCTCTGCACTCATGAATAATACTTTTTTAATTAGAGAAGAGTCAATCCTGTTGTAGGAGCCAACCAATGTCAACTTGACATGGACCCAGATCCAGAGAATTCAGCCCAAACAACCAGGAAGGACACCAAAATGCACCATCTGTGTTTTCCTTTCTTTAAGAATGAATGACAGGTCTCTTCACCTGTCATTCAGCCGAGCTACTACCACAAGTTAAATTGCTGGAGTTATCACAGCAGGATGGTCTGCAGGAGATGTTGCAGGAGCGTGGTGGTTAATTTCTATTTTCTAACCTGTGGTTTAGACAAATTTCTGTTTTCTAGCATGGTTCAGACAGACCTCTGGGAGAAGAAAGAGGTGAGGGCCTTATCCCTGGAAGAGTGAATGGCATTAGTGGTGCGGTTGGGAGAGATGGCATATTGCTTTGAAGTTATTTAGGAAGTTTGATTAAGTAACCATTTAAATTATAATTATCTCTGTTTTACAGAAACACTTGCAACAGAATTTGACATTAAAGGTGCAAGAATAACATTTCCAAAGGTACTTTTCAGTATTTTATATAAAGGACTAACAGTAGTAATATAAAATACTTACTTGTATACATTTTCTGGAAAGAGATGTTCAATGAAACTGTAGAAAAGCTAACATCAGAAAACTTTCTCCTGCTTGAAGTGATGACTCTGGAATGGCAATATCTCTGAAATGCTAAATGTCCTCAGGTTATTATTCCTCTATTATTCCCCCTTTATCTTATAACCCAGAGCAGGTCCCACAGGAACGTGTCCAGGCGGGTTTGAATGTCTCCAGAGAAGGAGACTCCACCACCTCTCTGGGCAGCCTCTGCCAGGGCTCTGCCTCCCTCACAGGAAAGAAGTTCCTCCTCATGTTGAGATGGAACTTCCTACTAGAAGTTTGTGTCCGTTTTCCCATGTCCTGTCCCTGGGCACCACTGAGAAGAGCCTGACCCCATCCTCTTGGCATCCTCTTGCCCTTTAGATATTGCTCAGCATTGATGAGGTCCCCTCTCAGTCATCTCCAGGCTGAACAATCCGGGTCTCTCAGCCTTTCCTCATCAGAGACATCTCTGTAGCCTCTGCTGGACTCTCTCTAGCTATTCCCTGTCCTTCTGGAACTGGGGAGCCCAAAACTGGACACCAGACCCTAGATGTGACCTCACCAGGGCAGAGTAGGGGGGAGGATGAATAGGTGGCCTGCTGAATAGGTATGAATCCTTGCTAGATGTCAGCTATGAAGGTTACTACCTCACAGTGGGGACAAAAAACCAAGGTATCAACCTGAGTAATTCCCATTTGTGGAGTCAGAAACATTACTCACCAGAAGGGCTCTGGAAGGGGGAGCAGGTGACATCAGGAGCACAGGAGTCACTGGTGGGAGAGAGGACCCTGACAAGGGCACACTGGACCACAGCCTACGTCTGTTTCTTACTAACCTGGCCATAATAAGAAAGTTGATCAACAATTTTTTATATATGCATATATCTGAATATACTGTGATAATAGTCCCTGATGGGAGTCCTTCTTTTTACGTCTTTAACAGAAATAACCAGAACCAACTTGGACAAGAGAGGGCAGAATTATGCACTAATTGACTTTTTTTTTTTTTTTGTCCCTGGGCACCACTGAGAAGAGCCTGACCCCATCCTCTTGGCACCTGCCCTTTAGATATTGCTCAGCATTGATGACGTCTCCTCTCAGTCTTCTCCAGGCTGAACAGCCCCAGGTCACTCAGCCTTTCCTCATCAGAGAGATGCTCCATTCCCTTCATCATCTCTGTAGCCTCTGCTGGACTCTCTCTAGCTATTCCCTGTCCTTCTGGAACTGGGGAGCCCAAAACTGGACACCAGACCCTAGATGTGACCTCACCAGGGCAGAGTAGGGGGGAGGATGAATAGGTGGCCTGCTGAATAGGTTCAATCATCTTTGTAGCCTCCGCTGGACTCTCAGCCTCTGCTGGACTCTCTCTAGCTATTCCCTGTCCTTCTGGAACTGGGGAGCCCAAAACTGGACACCAGACCCTAGATGTGACCTCACCAGGGCAGAGTAGGGGGGCAGGATGATCTCCCTTGACCTGCTGAATAGGTGTGAATCCTTGCTAGATGTCAGCCAGGTTACTACCTCACAGTGGGGACAAAAAGTCAAGGTATCAACCTGATTAATTCCCATTTGTGGAGTCAGAAACATTACTCACCAGAAGGGCTCTGGAAGGGGGAGCAGGTGACATCAGGAACACAGGAGTCACTGGTGGGAGAGAGGACCCTGACAAGGGCACACTGGACCACAGCCTACGGCTGTTTCTTACTAACCTGGCCATAATAAGAAAGTTGATCAATAATTTTATATATATGCATATATCTGAATATACCATGATAACAGTCCCTGATGGGAGTCCTTCTTTTTACGTCTTTAACTGAAATAACCAGAACCAACATGGACAAGAGGGGGCAGAATTATGCACTAATTGCTTTTTTTTTTTTTTCCTTTCTTGCTTTTAGGGCAATTATAACATTATTTTAGAAGCATTCTCTGATGATGCTGAGAATAATATGGTCCTATGCTTGAATTTCACCATGATAGTAAAACGAGACACTTTCTGAGTGTGAGAAGAGTTTCAAATAATTCCAGAGACTGGAGGTCCCTTCTGCGAGCAGCTGGAATAGGAGCTGACAAGTCAAGAGCACACTAATTTTCCTGAGGTGGAACACATCACGTGCTGTCCAGAGAGCTACAGGATGGATCATCTCATCCTTGTAGAGCGCTGGTGCCATCGGGTGCTCAGCCAAGGTGCACACAACCTCTGGGAATTGGGTCTCCTAATTAATCCAGGGAATAACCCAGGCTGGGTGTCAGGCTGAGGACGGCGTCTCGGTGCTGCACCCTGAGTTACCAAAGAGCCCATTCTTGATTCCTTCAGACTGCGCCGAACTAATACACAAGCAGTTTTGAAGAGTAAAAATCGGAAATTCAGCAGGACACACTTTAAAACGTAACAGCAATTGGATCTGGGAACCCCGTTGGTTTTGTGTTTGTTTTTTTTAATTTTTTTCTTTTAACAATAAAACTTTTTTTGTACAATCGAGTTGAGAAATGGCTTTCATTCTCTCGGTATTTTTCTGATTACCTTTAGAGGTTTCCTAATATTATGCTCCGTTTGCACTGAGCCAATGAAATAACCAGAACCAACATGGACAAGAGGGGGCAGAATTATGCACTAATTGCTTTTTTTTTTTTTTTCTTTCTTGCTTTTAGGGCAATTATAACATTATTTTAGAAGTTACGTCTTTAACAGAAATAACCAGAACCAACTTGGACAAGAGAGGGCAGAATTATGCACTAATTGACTTTTTTTTTTTTTTTCCTTTCCTGCTTTTAGGGCAATTATAACATTATTTTAGAAGCATTCTCTGATGATGCTGAGAATAATATGGTCCTATGCTTGAATTTCACCATGATAGTAAAACGAGACACTTTCTGAGTGTGAGAAGAGTTTCAAATAATTCCAGAGACTGGAGGTCCCTTCTGCGAGCAGCTGGAATAGGAGCTGACAAGTCAAGAGCACACTAATTTTCCTGAGGTGGAACACATCACGTGCTGTCCAGAGAGCTACAGGATGGATCATCTCATCCTTGTAGAGCGCTGGTGCCATCGGGTGCTCAGCCAAGGTGCACACAACCTCTGGGAATTGGGTCTCCTAATTAATCCAGGGAATAACCCAGGCTGGGTGTCAGGCTGAGGACGGCGTCTCGGTGCTGCACCCTGAGTTACCAAAGAGCCCATTCTTGATTCCTTCAGACTGCGCCGAACTAATACACAAGCAGTTTTGAAGAGTAAAAATCGGAAATTCAGCAGCGGGTCTCCTGATTAATCCAGGGAATCACCCTGGCTGGGTGTCAGGCTGAGGATGGCGTCTCGGTGCTGCACCCTGAGTTACCAAAGAGCCCATTCCTGATTCCTTCAGACTGTGCCGAACTAATATGCAAGCAGAATATACTTTTGAAGAGTAAAAATCGGAAATTCAGCAGGACACACTTTAAAACGTAACAGCAATTGGATCTGGGAACCCCGTTGGTTTTGCATTTTGATTTTAAATTTTTTTCTTTTAACAATAAAACTTCTTTTGTACAATCGAGTTCAGAAATGGTTTTCATTCTCTCGGTATTTTTCTGATTACCTTTAGAGGTTTCCTAATACTATGCTCCGTTTGCACTGAGCCAAACCAGAGGAGTAACCAGTTTGTTACGTGGTACTGGCTGATGTAAATAAAATCTGAAGGAGTTTCCAGTTCCACCAACCTGATATGGCCAAATTTAGCCTCCCAGAGCTGTGACCACGACCTCGCAGTGTGTTCTTAGCTCTTGCTCAGAGTCCAGAGAAGGAAGATTGAGATGAGATCTCAGGCAGAAATTCTTTGCTGTGAGGGTGGTGAGACACTGGAAGAGGTTGCCCAGAGAAGCTGTGGCTGCCCCATCCCTGGAGGGGTTCAAGGCCAGGCTGGATGGGGCTTGGAGCAACCTGGTCTGGTGGGAGGTGTCCCTGCCCAGGGCAGAGGGATGGAACTGGATGGTCTTGAAGGTCCCTTCCAACCCAAACCATTCTGTGATTCTACGAATCTATGGATTACTTGGACTTGGCAAAGACTGACCTGTTTCCCTTTTCTTCAATGTATTGGATCCATAAACTTTGATCCATTTTTCACGTCCTCGTTTCCTGCCTCTGTCCAGAGTTTGAATGGTGTGAACGTTGTGATGTAAACCATTCACTAAGTATTTCTTGCTCAAAATATTCAGTGTGACCTGCACATCCCAAGGGACTCAGCAAAGATTGACCTGAATGTTTCCCTTTCTTCAATGTATTGGATCCATAAACTTTGATCCATTTTTCACGTCCTCATTTCCTGTCTCTGTCCAGAGTTTGAATGGTCTGAACATTGTGATGTAAACCATTCACTAAGTATTTCTTGCTCAAAATATTCAGGGGGACCTGCACGTCCTGAGATACCTGTATTTTGCCACGAGTTCCAAGTGTCCTGTGCAAAGCCCCCTCCCTGGCAAACACAAATAAATCAAGGCAGGCCTCGCAGGTGGCATATTTATCTGAAACTAATATCTAAAGCCTTCACAAATACCTCTTTTTCTCTCCCTCATTACTGTTGTTTTTCAGTGGCTGTCAGGATTTGCTGCAGATGGGAAAATAGCTTTTCTTCACCCCCTCACCCTCTGTCGCCAAATATGTAATTATCAGAAGAAGCCGTTCCTGTAAAATGTGTTTTCCAATAAAAGCGCACACTTTTTGAGCTGTGTTATTGAGGTTTCATTTGATAAAAGCAGTAAAGCATGCACAGTTTTGAATGAGAGAAGTCCTCCTGACCACAATAACACACACGTTTTCTGGATGAAATTATAACATCATCATTTGAGGTAGACACACAAAGAAAATTCCACATGGACTGAGGTACTATGATTGCATGTCTTGTTTCCAGGGATGTGCTGGAAGGTACAAGTGATCCCTAAGTCACCAGTTTGGCTGGTAGAAAGCACACAGACCTGTACTGAGCAGATCAGCTGCGAGGTGCCTGCGGCAAGGAGTTGGATTGAGAGCAGCCCTGAGGAGAAGGACTTGGGGGTGGTGGTAGATGAGAAGCTCAACATGAGGTGGCAACATGTGCTGGCAGCCCAGAAAGCCACCCCCATCCTGGGCTGCATCCCCAGCAGCGTGGGCAGCAGGGCCAGGGGGGGATTCTGCCCCTCTGCTCCGCTCTGGGGACACCCCACCTGGAGCTCTGTGTCCAGCTCTGGAGTCCTCAGCACAGGAAGGGCATGGACCTCTTGGAACAGGGCCAGAGGAGGCCACGGAGATGCTCCGAGGGCTGGAGCCCCTCTGCTGTGAGGACAGGCTGAGAGAGTTGGGGGTGTTCAGCCTGGAGAAGAGAAGGCTCTGAGGAGCCTTCTTCTTGGGAAGAGATTCTTAGCTGTGAGGGTGGTGAGACCCTGGAAGAGGTTGCCCAGAGAAGCTGTGGCTGCCCCATCCCTGGAGGGGTTCAAGGCCAGGCTGGATGGGGCTTGGAGCAACCTGGTCTGGTGGGAGGTGTCCCTGCCCAGGGCAGACTTGGTATTGGATGATCTTTGAGGTCCCTTCCAACCCCAACCATTCTGTGATTCTATGATTCTATGACTTGGTGATGCAGGAGATGAGTCCTGATCTGTGTCCCTGGCATCACAGGAGAAATATGGCAGCATTAATTGGCGATGCAGGAGATGAGTCCTGATCTGTGTCACAGGCATCACAGGAGAAATATGGCAGCATTAATCCCTTTTGCACAGTTTTTGGTGGACAATGCCAGTAATTGCCTTTGACGCGTGAGCGCAGCATGTTCCGCTGAGGGGCTTCAACCGCTTGGTTCTGCCCGTGGGTTCCTGCCAGCACAAGGAGTCCAGGGATGGCAGATGGGGATGGTGACATTTCCAAAGGGAAGAGATGGGGAGGGAGGGAGGGAAGGGAAGGGAAGGGATGGCAGTGCATGCCTGCAGAGCTCAGGGGAGAGAAAGGAAATTTGGAAATTCTCCTTGTTGGTGTTAGAAATGACCCAACTTTGGAAATCCCAGAAAATAGTCCCTGTGCACGTACCCTGAGTCTCATGGATCCCAGGGGGTCTTACTGCGTGGATGCTGTAGGTGGGTATGTCCATAGCCTCTGTTGCCCAAGATGCATTTTACTACTGGCAAAGAGAGACCTGATATGTATATAAAACATATATTCGTATATAAAACATATATTCATATATAAAACATATATTTAATATATATTAAAATTTATATATTTTATATATATGCATTATATGTACATATATGTATACACAATTAATACATACTAATGTATTTGGCCAGATAATTTATAGTAGTCTCCCAAAGCTTCTGTCAGACATACCCCCCTCTTTTTTTGTTCTTGGCCTTTAGCCTAAACAGGTGCCTCAGCTACAGGTGTTGTGTTTTTAAATTTGAATTTCTTACTAACAGAATTTCTTGCTGAAATGACTGAGAAAGCAAAACTTTTTATAGCAAACCCGGCTCTTTGCTCACAGGAGGGAAGGGTCACTCACTCCGAGTGTGAAGGTTCCCCATCTGCCCTGCACAAAACCTTCAACTACTACTGAGTAGATGATAATTGTTTCTTAAATGGTAGCTTCTGTGCTAATTGGACACATCCATTGTGGTTTTTGTTTTCCAAGAGGCTTGGCATCTCTCCTGAAGAAGCACCTCCATACTGATGATGAAGTTGGATTAATTCTTACACACATTCTGTTCAGCCAGATCCGATTTCAGCATTTTGCTGTATTACCCATATCTTTTGTATTTTTAGCACAGTGGTGTAGTTTAACAATTTCAGTAATGCAAATTAAAAAAAAGAGAAAACCCACAACAAAAAAGAAGCCTACAATATGTAAAGATGAATACAGAAGAGCAAAATTTTAGCATTACTCCTCTGAAAACAATAGAGTTGAAAAATCTGCCCTTCACTTATGAGATGCACAAAGGAGGAAATAATCAAACAAAACATGATACATACAGGAGCGAGCAGTTGTTCACTTTGACCATAAATTAATTTGACCCTGTTTTAGAATCACTTGACTTTATTTCACATTTGAATATCGAGTGAAATCTGCCCTGTGCCTGTTGACCCTGCGTGCGGTGGAATTTTCCTTACATATTTCAAGCCTTAAAGATGCCTTAATAGCATAGATATAACAGAGATTGAACCATGAACACGATTAATGAAAGTCTCAGGTGTGACTCTCAGAAAACCAGAGTGGCAGCAGCAGCAACACGCCTCCCTGGTTCCCCAAGCTGCCTTCCACTGAGCCTGGTGCTAGAGACACACTTTCTCTAGTCTATAAAAGCGTTGATGATTTTAATATTTTAATGATGGAGGAAAGGGGTTCCTAAAAAAAAGAAATTCTGAAGTAATTGTTTATCTAGGACAATCCAAAATATTGAAATAAAGAAAAAATATTCTCAGATGAGTAATA